CCTCTCGGGCCGCGGATGTCGCATCCGCGCGCATAAATTATTGCAAAGAAGAACACGCGATAGCGCTATTGATCGCTCTCGGGATGCAGACTCGGGATGCAGGAGGCACTTCGGCCCGACGCTGAATCCCCCGTTGTCCACGATGTCGCGCGCGCGCGGCCGCCTCGTCGCCGGGACGCCCGCGATACGATACGATACGCGCCGATTAGACCGGATGGATCGTCGGCCGAGTCATGTGTTCGACGAGTTATAACGATTTAAACTGGGACATGTGCCCCGCGTGCACGACGATAGGGCGAGAACGGCTGTTCGTCTGGTTGACAATAAGGGAGAGCGACCCTTGCCGCGGAGGGAAACAGCTGTTGGTCGAAGGTGGAGTGGTGCCGGGGCAGGCAGGGAGGCACGGGGGCAGACAGGAGGGAAAAAAAAGAGGTTACCACCTGGTACCCCGCGCTTGTGCTTACCTGAAAACCGACGCCTGCCTGTATACCTGCCCGAGCATTCTTTTGTGCGAAGCCCCGGGCACGTACCGATTCCCAGAGGGCCTTGGGCAGCATTCGATACACAACTGCATTCTGCACACAATGCACGCCTCGAACACGCGCTGCGCACGGTACTTAGCGCGACACGATTAGAAAATAGTTCGATGTGGGACCAAGTCTTTGGGAAAAACAGTTTTTAACATTATCCGAAGAGGAGGCGTCCTCGGTGAAGGATCCCTGGCAATTCTCTTCGCTTAAGATTTCTGGAAGGATTCTTCACTAATGTTTTTGCACCGCAGGATGCAAAGTATTAGCTGTCAACCTGTATCTTCGACAGAATATACAAAAACTTTTATTCTTTTGTGCACTTTTACTGTAAATTTTCCTGCAATGACAAAGCAACTAAACATAAAGAATTATGTTCATCCTTCATCTGTTACTAAAATGACAAAGTTTAGAAAAAAAGGTATGGATGTCATCTATTAGAATCAGAAAAAATCTTGAAAAATTTCTAGTTAATGTCTTATTTCAGACGAGAGCCCTTCTCGGTAGAATGACTTTTAAAACTACTTCTGGCAAACCCCTTTTCCCTTATTTTCCGTTGTTTTTCTAGCCTGAGCTGCTACAAGCTTGGCAAAGATTTTATTGAACTGTGCAGGCTATTTCCTACGACGACGACGACTTGCCAGGCTTGAATTCGACGCGATATTTCAAGACCGGTCAATTCCCGCGCGGCGGTTCTCAGGCCGAACCGAGCACGGCAATTTGCATAATTAATGTGGACGTTTTACTAACCCGATTCTCGATTCATTGCACGGATAGTATCGATTCTAGATTAAACGCGCCACGGTTTGTTTGAAAACGAAATCTCTTTCAATTGGATTGAAAAATATCGATCAATATAACATTTCATAACGAAAATATTAATTTCCAGTAGTCTAGTACTCTGTACGTTAATTTAATATGATTGATTTACGAATCAAATACGGAACTTTTGCCATCTGCTGAAACCAAATCTGAGAAATTTATTTTCGTGAGCATATCGTTAGCTTCATCAATTTCCTGCATGTCACAAGGAATATTAGACAGATGGCAAGTCATTTGAAACGCTACAAACCAAATTATTCTCGAATGGGAATTCATCGAAATTCTTTAGACACTCAATCATATAAACGACTTTGAGACACTGCTAACTTTATTCCGTTTCGAGGAATTTCGTTAAAATATATTTTTAAAAATCGTTATTATACTTAAAAATTTTAAATATACCATCAGATTCTTCCATCTTGACCAGATGTCCACTTTTCCTCATTTTTCTTTTCTTTTTTTATAAAACGATTTATTACAAAACGTACGTACGATATAATTTATAACGGACTTAAAACTAAAAGGTGAGCAAGTGATGTAATAAGCATAGTTTCTCTTATCTAGGTTTGAAGAGCACGTAGGGCATCTTGTAACTTTTTTCTCGCGAGAGCCACTCGCTCTTCTTGTCTCCTTATATCCTCATCCGCTATCGAGACCGCCTTAAACAGAATAATTAATTTATCAATAATATGAGCCAAATATTAAAACTCCATTGGCCTCTGTGTGTTGTTCTGACGGTAGAAGAAAATCCCCTAATATGAGATAAGCTTCTAGCGTAAGTGGATTTTCAACATTCAATTTCACAAATCTTTCTCGCAACAATTACACGCACGATTTAACAATGAATTTTCCACTAAGCTGATTTCACTCCAAGGGTCATAGATTCATGGTAAAATCAACAGATGTTGCTTATTCATTTTGCAGAAACCCTACTATTTCGTATTAGGAACCTATCTCATAATAAGGGCCTCTCCTCTACTATTTTATAGGGCATTCTCGCCACTGAGCCAATTCATATTCGACTATACCTGTACAAGTGGCTGATCAGGATTGAGAAATACCCCAGGATTCTTCTCCAAGGCTGTCTTTGGTCCCGTTTGCCCCGTGACTGGCTGCGTGGATACGTGCAACGCAGTGGCCACGCTTTGGAGTAATGTTTCTTCCGTGATATACGGTCCTACTGCTTTCAAGTTCTTTGGCAGATCCATCACATCAAACTCCAAACCGCAGGAGTCGCAGGCTCGCAAACCTTCCAAACGTTTTTCCCAGAAAAGCTGCAAGATCGACACTTTGATTATCACTCGCTAATCGTCTTACCCCAGCATACGCTACTCTACTAAGAAATAATACAAGCTACAAACGTTACATGAAATATTAAATTGAATCATTGCTTTCAATGTATGTAAACGTTTTTATCGAGTACCATCACCAACCACCACCGATTATAATCCTATATTAAAAGAAAAATGAGCTAGTGTGACTATAAGATACTTTTCGCCAATTGTCTTTAAACGTTAAAAAGATAGGCTCTCGATGTTGTTATCAAGATCTTGCAATTAATAACACTTGTCATTGAAAATGTAAACAGAAAAAAAAACAAAATTACTGACAATTTCATGATTGCATGTTCAGAGTTACCTGCTTAGGCTTATCTTGGGAGCCATACTTGCCGTCAGTTTTATCGGCAGCTCCTTCCTAAAGCAACGATTTGACAGTTGTGAATTTACAAGGATAGCTAACGAAGAGCAATACAAGTGAATGGGTGTAAGCAAAGGATATTTCACCTCCAAATGAAGAATAAGTTAAATCAACGTCTTTTTCAGCAGTAGACTATAAGGAAAAATATGTTATTTTTTTATCACGACTCAATTGCCATCAAACAGCTCAGCTTTTATACACAAAACAATGTTTTCTGTACCTTGCCGTAGCCTCTTGATTGACCTTACGTTCGTATCATTTATTTTAAACTCATATGTCAATTTCGAAATGATTTTTAACGTAGCTTATCGTCAACCTATTCACCCCGTTATAGATTAATTTTCAACTTCAATCGCATTCTACCACTTTGTGCGCCAAAGAAGACTCAGTATTGTCAAAACTTTTACTCGATCTTTACTACACGAAAATCAACTGTAAGCCAATTTGAGGCCTTCCCTCTTTTCGCTCGTATTGTTGGCCCATCAACCCCCTTACATCGCATTGCATACAACGGGCTTGAAGTGTATTTCACAGGCACGATACAGTGATTAGAAAGACTTCCATACACAAGGCAATAAGACGATAAATCCATGAATATATTTGTAAGATTATAAGTGTGCAACTACAACTAGATATCATGTATGTGAATAGACGGGATACGGTGTACCAAAAGGATTCGTTTCGTGGACACATCAAACTGTCGGACAGTCCAATTAGCGTACGCACAGTCAGCTACGGTCGCATGCACAAAACCAACCTGCTTCGGCTTGCCCTCCACAGTGCGGTCCTTCACCTTTCCCTCCTGTGTCTTGTAGAGCGTCACGGGCTGCTTGAAAATCGACGCAGTTTGCCTGATCGGCGGCACCAGCGACGCGTCGTTCACCCTGACACCGCGGCTGGAAGGAAAAGCCCGTGGTTAGTTCAGTTAGACACTTAGCTGGCCCTCGAGCCTGCAACTCGCGGCGCTCGAGAAACCTTGTATCCGCGTCCGCGAAAATTAATCTCGATCTCAAACCTGTCCTCGAGTGTCCACGCGTACCTGCGTCGTAAATTTAGCAAGTCCCTCCCTCTCTTCCGAAAATCCGTTCAACCTACTTGTAATAATAATCAACCTTCCCCGTGGATGCCAACTGATTTTGACTCTTCCTCGGCGGTTCCTCCCTCGCGGCCCAATTGATCGGCAGCGCCGAGGGGTACTTCTTCTTCTCCACGGACATGTTCATCGTCGCGATTTTCTGTCTTCGCAGCGCGCGAATGTCCTCCGAAAAATATTAAAATTTATGACCGCGAGCCCACTGTGGCTTCGCCTTCGGCCATATTGAAGCGTCGCGCGCGCCGACGGCAAGCTGTTCGGCGACTCGCCGGTAGAGCGCAGCACCTCCTGGCAAATTCTGGCCGGTACTCGTAGTCGGGTCTTGTGAAATATTCCATACAGCAACTTCAGATAAATTCAAGACGGTCTTGAATACAAGTGCGAACTCCGACTACGAGTACCGGCCTACGGTCAGAGAGAAACCTGGGGCTTCACCGAGTTGAACTCACTTTTCACGGGCAGTAAGTAGCAACGGCATTTCAGTAAATACTACCAGAGTTTTACGTGTTTTACGCGACTACGTTTCCATCGAGGGTCAGTCTGACTAGAGTCGGGTCAGAATCGGGTTTGGGTGAGCGCTCTTGCTCGTGGAAACAGGTGGAAACGCCATACTCGAACCTGAATGAGGCTCGGTGGAAACGATAAGAGTTTTGTTAGGTTCTTGTAACGTAGCCAACAGGTTAAATAGAAATAAGTAGCTTTTTACTTACCTCGATTCTGTTTTACCTTAAAATTTTGTAAGGTAGGGTTCAGGCTCAGGTTTGAATTCGGTGTTTCCACCGAAGCGCTCACCCCAACCCGATTTTGACCCGACTCTAGCCCGACTGACCCTCGATGGAAACGTAGGCCGCGATTTCAGGAAACTGCTTTGCGCGCCCTTACGCCCATTTTTACTTTTGAAATTATTTTGCTACGCGTCTTCTGACACTGCCGATAGTCTTCACTTTGTGCGTGCCCACGCTACGCCTATTTTTCAGGATTGTGCTGTGAATTTCAAAATGACGACATAAATTATCTGCATGGTGTTTACATCAACTTTTTTATGTAGTCAATGTAAATTTTATAAATTAGATGTCAGAATGCATAACACAGACATGCGCCGATATTCGATATTTCGGGAAATAATTCTCGCAAATTCAGATTCTAGGAATTCTTGGAAGTATTAATTACATTCTTGGAATTTTACAGTGCCACCTCTTTGCCGATCAAGTTCTCCTGATACTTTGTCAGTTTCCGAAAATCTCGATTCTCGCGATTTAAAGTTTGAAATTCTCGTGAAAACGTTGAAAAATATAATTAAACTTTTTAATTGATATAAGGATATTAAAATTAAAAATATTTAAATTTCATTTGAAAATTACACTCATTTATATATTTTTTTTACTAAATTACAATTCGATTTCACCTTAAATCTATTTATATTTTAAACCCAATAGATTTTAATACAAAGTTAACTAAAATCAACAAGTACATTAATAATTTAAACATTTTTGTTATTGTTAATTATTTTATTGAGTTTATTTTAAATGATTCTAATTTAAGTGAACAAAAATAACTTCCAATTCATTAATTTATAATAATATAGTATTACTTTTATTTTATTATGAAATAAAAGTCTACTTAAATACAGATTTATTTTATAATGAAAAACATTATATTTTTCATTATAAAAATAACAATAAATGTACGTATCTCATAAGATCTTACCTTAATTTTCTTCGTTGTCAATGAAGACCTCAAATGATCAAACCAAAGTTTCAAAATTAGTATTTCATTGCTGAGTCTTCTATGTCCGGGTGGCAAAGATTCGGAGGATCAGGAGAATAGGTCGGCGAGCGTAATGATGTCAACCCTTGTATATAGATATAGAGGATTTAATTGCCGAAAGAAACAATTTTCGCGTAGCTATAGGAACAACTTGAACAGTGCTTGGAAAAAGATTAACGCTGCCTGTCTTCCGTTTATTACGAACATATGTTCTCTCCCACGGCGGCTTTCGTACGCTTTCGCGGAGTGCAAAATGCGAGCACGGAGACGCAATTCAACGGTATTACAGTATGGTTCCCGATGGGGTAGGAAAGGGAGGAAGGGGGGGGGGATAGAGGAGAGGCAGGGTACAATCATTGTCGTGGCTATGCGATCTTTTTTTTGTCTCGCGTAATGCTTTCTTTTTCACGGTGCGTGTGTTATTCAACTGTAAAAGAATATCGATTCTGTACAAGTCGATGAGTTAGAGATAATTAACTATTGAGTCTTCTTGAGGTATCGTTGTTTCTATTGGTCTATATGAACGGGGGCTGTGATCGTCCAAAATCGAGGGTCCGTTCGTCCGATTCACGGTTGCAATTTAACGTAACCGGTGGAACGCTAATCACATTACAATGCAAAGTTCTTATCGCGGCAGTTATTTCTGATCGTGGCGTTGAATTTCGGACGGTCACAGCGGATGTCAACGTGTGTGTGTGTATGTATGTGCCTTCCTGTAACAAAATATAAATCTCCATTACGCATCACCCGCTTTCACCATACGGCCTCCGAATAATAATGCGCTAGCTAGTACCCTAAAAGTCCAGATGCACACACCTCCGGCTTTGTAACCTGCACCGAAGGGCGGTGTAAGAATCGCAAGTGTTTCGCCTCATTTTACATATCGTCTCGTCTCTGCAGTCGTCGTTGCAGACGCGCGCGCGCGGTCGATCACGCTCGACCAGGTTTGCTCGATGGTTTAAGCCTAGGGTCTCACGATGAATAGTCACAAAAATACTTTATCGAATATTCTGCAAAATCCGCCCACGAACGTGGTCCGCTCGCTCGTGTTTGTTTACGCGTATATGCATGTGCGTAATATTTATATGCCTATTATGGCAGTCAAGACTCGCAAACAATGTACATTGTATCAAGTATCCGGTGCGCGTTCGGCGCAACTTATAAAGTTCCTATTTGTATTCGATACCGCTCGTAATAGGCGTGTATGAAAGCCAGTTTCATAATTACCGCAAAAGATCGAAAAGTAATCTTTCGCCATTTTTTTTCTTTTTTTTCCCTTTGTTTTATCACTGTCCTTCTCCCTCGACGCGTTTTATAAAATCTTAATTACAATAAAGTCTTAACGGCAGACGCAACAGTGCCATATAATTATAAAAGAATCAGTATTTAAAACTGAAAGTGTAATAAGTACAAATGATTCCTCTTATCGGTGGTAGAAATGTCAAAGATCACATCACTGGCTTCGATACCGAACGAACGCAGCGTTCAACAACTGTTAGCGTGATCGATACTTATCGGTTTCTCATAGCCCTACAGTTTCACCGCTACATGACGTAAACGTTCTGTCTACATGTGTGCTCAATATATTATGTATAATTCTGCGACACAACATACATCCCTACTTTGACAAGTCTACAACACTAGATCAGCATTCCATACGTATTCAGGTATTTCGCCGTAACAGGAAAACGATCTCGCACGGCGAAATGCATTCGATTCTTCGCTCAGTTACCTTCACGAGCACGTGCAAAAGAACCTAATTATAAAGATTCTATATTACATCAGTAACATATTACACAAGCGACTTCATTATCGCCTCCCACGCTAAATACAGATTGAGATTACTCACATGCATTTGTCTCTTTCTCTCACTCTCTGTCATTCCATTCACTTCATCCTACTTACGATTATAGGCTCTATACAATCTTACACAGCTAAATGCTGCAATCTTTATATGTATATATTTATATCCCCGTAATTTATATACTATTCCCCCGATATAATTTAGTTTTCGTTTCTGAGATTACAGAAGTGTAGAATTTAATTCGGTGTCTGACGAATGTAGCGACCAAGTCTTGTCAAGTCTTGTCAAACCTCACAATTCGCTACTTCAAGTCACATTTAGGGAGTAAAAATTTAATTTTTGTTATTCAATTCCTCCGTCATGAGTCAATTACACTTAATGTCACGAGAAACTTCCATCGGAGTAGTATATCGGAGTGTATCGTCAAGCCAATATGTGGCTCAATACATCACTTCGTAGACGGTGGCCTTCTTGTCACCGGATCCGGTCACGATATACTTGTCGTCCGTAGAAATATCGCAGCTGAGCACCGAGGACGACTCTTTCGACTGAAAAGAGAAGAGAAACGTTTACAGTATTACACTCGGAGAAACGCGGTAGAGATCGACGTGAAAACAAAATCAACAATTTGTGATAATACACGATTCAACAACTGACCTGGAAAATCGAGGCACCGTATGGCGTGCGCCACGCATTAAGTAAATTGTCCTTGCCAGTAGAAACGAACCACTTGCCGCACGAGGCGAAACGTAACGACAGCACGCAAGATTCGTGCAGATGCAGCTGGTACTTGTCGGGCTTCGTAGCGTGGAGTACTTCGACGTTCGAATTTTCCATACCCACGGCTAACCATTCACCGGTCGGGCAGTATCCCAAGGAGAATATCTGTGACGTGAAATCGTGCTGCTGCAGCTGCCTGCCTTCTCTAAGGTCCCAGGAGCGCACGGTATTATCGAGACCACCTGTCCACAGCTTCGAGCCGTCGGCGGAGATGTCGATACACGAAGCGCCGTCCGTGTGACCTTGGAACTGTCTCACCAGTGTCTGATTCTGCAGGTCCCACACGGCGATGTTGCCATCGCTGCAACAGCTGAAGCAGACCTTCGAGTCCGGCGAGATAGCCAGGGCATAACACGCCGGCGCCGAGGAGGTCAGTTCCGCTTTGATTCTCGGTGTCGGACTTGCCAGGTCCCAGATGCTGAGATTACTCGCCTCGCCTCCAACAATCAGAGTTCTACCGTCGGGCAACAGTTTCACCGACCTAATGACACGAACAACGAGCGTCGCGTTACATTAATTCCATTAAATACCGCCACTTAGGCGCGCTTTTAAATAATTACTACGGTCGCGCGCGCGGTTGCATGGTACGCGAGGAGAGAGAGAGAAGGGTAGGGAGGGGAGGGGGGGGAGTGGGGTAAATGCATACGGAAAATGCATGTGATAAATCGATGCCGGGCTGCTTCGGCGTGATATACAGCCGGCGGACACGACTAAATGTCATCCAGAATTCAGAGTCAGAAATTAATTACATCGACCGCATATAGCGTTCGGGAGTTAATGTGTCACGAATTGCGAATGAAGACACGTGTTACCATCACTGACCTGATATAGTTGTCTCGTTGCAGGCAATCGAGCTGGGAGACAGGTTTCGCGCTGGCTCCGCCGCCCTGACCAATATCCCATACCTTGACGCAGCCCTTGCCGCCAGTATAGACATATTTGGTCGGGTTAGAGATTGTCACGGCACAGACTACCTCACCGTGAGTTAGCGTGTTTATTTGACGCGCGTGACGCGGAATGCCCGGACCGATAAGGGCGTCCTGCGGGAACGGCACCGGCTGCATCTGGCCTTCGCTAGACACGTGGAAACTGTATGCACTGCTACGGAGAAAACGTCATCTCATAAAGGTACCGATACAGCGGCGAACGACGAGACAGACGACAGCGAATTTAGGAAAGAGGAAACTCACGGTTTACCACCGGGAGGAATGATCGGTCCGAGCGGTGCTCTCATGCTACCATGAGGATCGTAAAGCTGCTGAAGGGGCGGTCTCGTGGGGTAACCACCGTTGAGCGCCGCCGGGGGATAGCCCAGCATGTCCACGTGAGGTCCCGCGGGCGGATGATGTGGTGGCGGATAGTGCGGCGGATAAGGGCCGACCACCGAAGCCGAGACCAACGGTTTGCTGGAGCTCGATGGTTTCAGGCCACCGGAGCCGGAACTGCTACCTACGATGTACCATCGATATCAAACTCGAGGTTACTTACTCGACTCTTCCCGTTCCTTCAGCTTTCACTTTGGCTCTTGGAAAAATGCCGAGCAACACCGTACCTGCCGACGTCGGGGTGACCGGTTTCGAGATCGGCGTCGTCGGTTTCTCGCGTTCCTCCATCTTCTTCGCCGAGGGCGTGCTGGCGTTGCTGCTGGTGCCGCTTCTGGGCGACGGCGGCGGTACCTCCTTCTTCACCTGGCCGCTCAGAGGCACCGAGGACGGGCCCAACTTGTCGAGACCGTTCTCCCGCGGCGACGCCGTGCCGTTCGCCGCCGGGCTGGTCGGACCCTCGCTCGCGTCGTCGACCACTAGGTCTTGGTCGCTCTTTTCACCATCGCTTTGCTGTCGGGGAGAAACACGCAGGGCTTGATTAAGACGGACCGCGCGGCACGCGGGGCATAAAGTACTGATCTTGAATACCTACATGGCCTATGTCCTTGTCCTGCTCCTTCTTCAGCTTCTTCGCCAGCGGATGTTCGTGCTGAGGATCAGGTGTGCTGCGCGGTCTGTACTTCTCCCGTTCCGCCGGCGATATCGAGTTTCTCTGCGACAAAGAGACGATCGACATTCAGCACTTGAGATCCGGAACCTTTAACGGAGTCGTTCAACGAGGACGTTACGATTTTTATAGAATCCCTTATCAGCGCGAAATACGATAAGATACGATTCGCTCTCTCGTTTAGTGCGGTTAATCCGATTACGGAGATTTACCGAATTTATTCGTCCAAGATTTTTACGGGCCGCGCCCGGATTCCACTTTCTCGATAGATTTCCACGGCAGAGTATCGGGAACGAAGGACTTCTTGCGATCGAGGGGATGGTCGACGGGAGATGGAGGGTAGGACGACTAAATTCCTTCCTACCTCCTTCGCGATTAAATAAAACGACCTTCCTGTCGGACGGGTGGAAGAGGCATCGACGGAATTACTTATCCCTCCTGGCCCGTACGACCTCCATTTCGCTCTGAGGCGAACGAAGAATAATAGGACGGATCGTGGAATCCCGCGTTTTTTCTACCGTATTATGCACGGATGCCGGGAAAAATATCGGCATGCATTTCCAAGTGCGAAAGTGCTTGAATATCTCAGGCGTCTTTTATCGACTTCCTCCTTATTTTATCGCGCCTCTTCAGTAATCGCTTATACGAAGACAAACTCTCTTTCTCTCTCTTTCTGTCTTACTCTCTCTGGCTGAGAGAATCTAATCAGCTAGATAAGGCTTTACTTTAAATTTTAATATGGAGAATAAACATGAGATAACAATCGCAATTGATAAATAACGCCAAGATTGCTTATCGCCACGCCGACCTTGTCTTCTTCTCGCTTCGACGCGATCGCGTAAAATTGCGAGGAGGATCATCAACGCCGGCAATCTCCGTAGAAAAGCGCGCTCTTCGCAAAACGCTCGCTCGGGATCGCCGCGAGTCGAAGGTATCGTGCCGGAAGCTTTACGAGCGGCAGTTTCGTCGTCGACACGGCCGACAAAGCAGTCGACGACACCGTCCGCACGCCTCGGTATATATAAGCCCGCGTGGCAGCCCTTTCCCTGTCCCCCGATAACTGCGCGCCCCATCTTTGCAAACCCGTAAACCACCCTGTCGCATCCCCTCGTCGCCGGTGTCCAAGTAAATCTCCTCTTCTCTCAATTACCCCCGTTCCTCGTCCACCACTACCAGCCTCCCGGTCCATTACTTGGACGCCTCGGTATCATCTCCCGCCTGTCGACCGAAACCCTCCGGGGTGGAGAGAAATAAAAGAAAACGGGACCTTGAGATGCGTACGGGTGCGCGAGGTATCTCCGGGCGATTAACGTGCGAAATTACATGCCGCGCGGAGGATAAGTGGTATCGCGCCGGTGTCTTGTCAGACACCGTCGAGAAATCGCTCGGGAGTGGAACGGGGGTATGAAACGCCGCGACGCGGAAAAATCGAGCGGGAGCATGTTCTCTCGTTCTTACGACGACGATATAGCGGCGGCAAGAAAAGCGAAGACAAAAGCCGGGAGGGGGTGAGGCGAGAGCGGGGGCGGGAAGTCTCGCAAACACGCGCTCCGCGCTCACGTCATGAAAGATTCCCGGTAAGAAAAGGATCCCCCGGGAGCCGTATTACGTGCCTCTCTTTCGAGTTTTCCTCGCGAAAGAATCCCGGTAGAGAGAAAGAGGGATCTTTTTCCTCCGAAAAGACGTCCTCTCGTTATCCGGAAACGGTCGGTCACTGCTTATCCGAGCGGAGTCCACTGGAGCGGACGGGACGACTGTCATGTCGTTGGAGAAGGAAAATCTGGCGAGAAAACTGCGCTTGATACGCATTCGCGAGAAGACAAGGGCGCGCCGTCGCGACTTGAAATCCTGGGATTTGAGAGCAACTTTATCGGCGATTTAAAAAGAACCCACATTTTACGCTCACGCACCGTCGGCGAGTTTTAATTTTTATCACTGCAACGCCGCCCGCACATCTAAATCACAATCGCAAACGCGCGATAACTTTGGAAGAAGAACGGGAAATATTTGCGGGCATACATCTGATTTAATAATTACTGACGTGTGCGCGGTGTTGTTGCTAAAATGGAGGAGATACACTCCCGGCGTAGAGTACCAACAGCCCCCGGTAAAACGATTCCGCGTGGAAATCTCGACTGGATTTAGTTCCCTGGAAAATCATGCGGAAACACACACCGTCTCTTGTCCGCAGTCGATACCGCTAGTAAGTATGTACCCGGAAGTCTCGTCTTTCGAGGGTAAGCGCATCCTTTCTCCCCCACCCCGTCGTCGCGAGACGCCGATAGCTCGCAATGTCGTTTCGCGAGAGCTTTCCGTTTCTGTTCTCCCTCGCTTTCTCGTTGCCCGCTCGTGTTGCATCAGTAGTGTATGTACAGAGCATATACACAGATATATACGATACGCGTGTATATAGGTAGCTCGGCGAAGAAACGATATACACGCGGCCCGCCTTCCATTCACGTAAGTTTACTTACACCTATCCCGTCGGCTATCCATATCACCCTCTCCCACAAAGAGGATTCGTGCCACGATCAATATGGGGGTTGGTACCTCAGGGGAAGACGAGGAGATAGAGGTGGAGGCGGCGGAATGTAGGAGGAGCTGCGGGTATACCGTAGATATATAGACTTTGTAGTGTTAGGGACGACTTGGTCCGCAAGCAAGCAAGCAGGCAGGCAGGCAGGCAAGCAACTTGGCAAGCAGCAGCAGGCACCGAAGTACAGAAAGGGGTGGCTCTTTCAAGGGTGAGAGACGAGAGAGCGGAGGATGCTGGGAAGGGAGACGGACGGGGGACGGCTTTGGCCGTGTGCATGGTATTGGGGTTGGCGGTCGCAGCCATGAGGGTGGTAAGTGAGTGAGCGACTCCTTCGCCACGGCGCCTCGTCTCAACTCAACCACCCTAACCTTACGGATATATCCCAAGCCACCGACCGACCACCCACCGTCCTCTCTCCGGCTCCTTCTCTCCTCTTCCCTTTTCTACGCCGTCTCTCACCCTTTGCTGCCGCTGCCACTCGTGCGCTCTCACCCTACGTCGACCAACCAACCACCCCCGTCACCCGCCCGCCTGCCTGCCTGCCTGCCTGTGGTGCCTGTTTCCCTATTCCTCACTCCACCAACGTCGTCGTCGTCGTCGTCGTCGTGGCTAGGACCCTGAGAGAGAAGGTTACGAACCGGAGTCGCGTCTCTCAAGACCCCGCAAACCCCAGCTGGTACAAGATTGCACCCAGTGGCTCTCAGTGTCTCGGCCGCCGTCGTCGCCGCCGCCGCCCGCTCTCGAAGGAACGCGTCGGGATGAGAGATGTCGGGAAATTGGGATTCCGCGTGGAGATCGGTACGGTTCGACGCCGCCGACTGCGGGGGGACGCTCGTGGTCGGCGGACATTGCGGGGCTTTGCGCCGCGACGCAGAGACGTTCGACTAATGCGTCTCGTGTCGGCGAATCTCTGACCGTCGAGGCACGACGGAAACGCAAAGACAATGCTTCCCGTGTTTCAACTTCGAGACCGATGTCGCGCGAACGGGCCGTACAAAGCTGCGTTGCCAACCGGACTTATCGGTTCCGCGGTATTTACCTTCCCACTCGAGACACCCATCGCCCGACGACATCATCATGTAGATCTCAAACGAACCCTGACTCCCCAAACGCGATCAGGTCCTCCACTTCGATTTCCGAGTGGATAAACCATCCGCGGCGTTATTAAACCACCCTGACACTTGTCCCGCGATTTCGGACTCGCTCGTGACTAACAGCCCCCTGAATATTCCGCGTCCGATCGCGATTTTCGTTTCCGCTCTCGCCGGAAGATTAATTTAATTAGCCGAGATCGCGCCTACCGCGCGCCGTCACCGAGAGATTCATGGCGGGTGCCGAATCTGCGTAATTTTGGGCGAGCAGCCGCGTCCGGGCTTGCCGGCTACGCGCGACCATGCGTCGCAGCTTACTCGCGAATGCATGGAATTTTTTATGATCGCGCCGGGCGCGGGACGGCGGCGGTAATCGGTTCGCGGAATCCGGCGCGTACGTGTCACTGGGTCAACCGGTGCATTCGTCATGCCGGCAATTAGTGTGCGCGCCAATTTTTATCACCGCCGCGGCGATCGCGGATATCGCGGCGTGTTTTGGCCCGGTCGATCTTTTTTGCGCGGCTTTATCGGAATCGATACCCGGCCGCCGACGAAAACAAACCGTCCGCTCGATATTGCGCGACGCTTCCACGCACACGGGCAAATCGGATACCGCTCGCTCTCTCGCCCTGTCTCCCACCAGATAGCGGGATTTTGTTTAAATTATGCCGTGTGCAAATTTTAATCATAAAAGCGCGGCCGGTACGCGGCACTCGTGTCCTTTTTCTTTTATTTATTCATACAAACGCGCCGCCGGTTTACCGCACCTCCACCGCGGATTGTCCCCGTCGAATTTTTCGGCGGAGGAGCGCGCTATCTCGCAATCGGACTTGCCTCAAATTGGACGACGTATAAATAAAGCTCGCGCGCAGCGCAGCGCCGCGCGAATCAGACAGACATTCACAACGCTATGATTTATGGCGGCACCGTAAATAGCAAAATTCCCTTTCTCTCAGCGCGTTACTCGCCGCGTTCTCTTGCGCTTTTTCTCCTCTCTCACTCTCTTTCCTCTCCGCTCGCTCTCTGTCCTCTTTTTTTTTTTCCCCGGCTATGTCCGCCCCCGGAACGGCAGAGAGACCCGTGGTGGAATTTGCATTTTTAAATTAACTCGCGTCTGTTTGCAGCTATCTCGGCTCGGCGGCGCCGCTGCCGCCGCCGCCGCCGCTGCTGCTGGGCTCTGCAATTTTATGCGGCAACGCGCGTGTGGACCGCGATCCCCCGCGCGTGCACACCACCGTCTCGTCGTTCCTTCTCCCGTGCGTACACGGGCGCATCCGCCGCGTGATCGATAGTGCAACAGTTATCGTTATCGCGCCCCGAACTCGCGGCGCGGACGGTTTTTCCCTCCCAACCCGGTCCGCGCGACGAAAACTACGCGGAGGCGGACAAATTTCCCCGAGTTTTTCTTTCTTTCACAA